TCACAAGCTAAAAGCACTAACGAACTTGTAGTCAGGAGGACACTATGGTGGGGGGAGCTGAAGAGGCAAGAGAAATGCTGCTAGCTAATCATTCAATTCACTTCCAAACCCAGAACCTGGGGACTCTCTTTTCCATGGCTTGTGAAAAATTACTCAACCCTTGCCCTTCACCTCACTTGCACCAGTGTGGGAGAGAGGATAAAAATGTAGCCCCAGGGCAGGCCACATCACTGGGGTCTGAGATAAGCCGGAGAACTGAGTCCAGAGTCTCTCTCCCTATCACTTTAGTTTTCCTTCCTAACTTAGCCTCGGTGATACTATATCCCATCACTGAACAGCTCAGAAAGGTCCTGAGCTAGCCTGTGGAGACATGAGGGATTGAATCCCATTACAAAAACAGAGCAAACCGAATGGGGCTGGATGAGAGCAACAGGAGCTTAAGTCATATCCAACCAATAAGAGAGGGGTAAGGACAGTGTGATCAGAAAACAGTTTCAGGGAGACCTAATTCTGGAGACTGCTTCCTTCAATAGATAGACCGCTTCTAGAAGCTTTATTGTTGCTCTCTCCAGCTTAGCCATTCTTAGGAAGGCCAGTGACTGGCAATCCCTCTCTACTACCCCCTCCCAGACACACACATCTCAGGGGTGATTAGGCAGAGACAGGGTTCCTCAGAATTGGGAGAGACAATTTAAGAACAGTTCAGCTTTGGCCTGGGTCAAATGAACTGATGTGAAAAGAAAGCTGGGAGAGGATCAAAATGGTGATGGGAAGGGGTGAATCCTAAGAGTTAAAGGAAACTCTTGAGGGGAAACACAGTAGTGAGAAGTCATCACTGAGGTGAAGTGGACACTCAGGGTATCTCACCCCTTAATGTTAAGAATAATGTAAATAATTACTGAAAGCTTACTCTTTGTCAGACACTCTTCTAAGAGCTTTCCATATATTTAATGCTCACATCAGCCCTGGGAGGTAGGTAAGAGGTAGAGTCTATTATTATCCCCATTTTACATATGAGTAATCTGGCGTCCAGAGAAGCTTAATAACTTGCCCAGGATCACACAGCTCAGTCAATGGAGGAACTGGGATTCAAAGTCAGGCCTGTCACGCTCCACAGCTGGTGCTCTTTAACCACTGCATGTTGGCTTCACACCTAGAAGAAGCAGCAGTATTCAGGGAAGGGGTGCTGAGGGAGCTGTCGGGGTAGAGAGCGGGGTGGGAGAGGAAGACGGCGTAGGGGGTGCTGTACGCGTGGGCAGCAGCGGGAGGTTTCTGCGGCGGAAAGCGAAGGGGTCACCCAGGCTCGGGCTGGGCGACAGCACCAGTGATAGAGACCGGGGAAGGTGGGGCTGGGGGCCCCGCGCGGGGAGACGAGCGGTGCAGACGCCGTGGGAGGAGGGGGTACCGAGCCGCGACACGGGAATGCGGGGCGGAGGGGGGGGCTGTCACGGATGGAGGGTCCCTGCTGAGGGGGGACATGGGGTCACAGGTGGATATGAAGGGAGCGCCGGATGGGGACCGCGCAAGGGACGCGCTGAGGAGAGCCTGGGGTGACATCGAGGCAGGCGTTGGGCTGGGAGAGCCCGGAGGGGAGGGGGAGCCCCGTCCTGAGGGCAGTGAGGCCACTACAAGGGAGGCTAGTGGAAGGGACGCAGGACAGGGGCGCTCTGGGCCGCACTGGGGGCCGCCCAGGACAACCCCGCGGGTGGTTATGGTGGCAACACTGAGGGGAAGTCTGTGAGGGGAGGAACTGCAGGCGACCGTGGGTGGGGGGCCACACTCTGAGTGGGGGTGGTTACCCTCAAGGGCGGCTCACCCGGCGGACTAGGCGGCGTCCCCGCTGGCCCCGGGCTCCGCCGCGTCCCGGGGCTGCCCGGCTTCCCAGCTCTCGGGACCTCGGGCCGCGTCGCGGCGGCTCCGCCATCTCCGAGCGAACACTCTGCCGCAGCCGGGCCCAACC